AGTGTCGAACTGCATGACAAATATTTTGACGATTACCCGTGACTAAATGTTTTGTTCATGCATTTTTAGTGGCAATGGTCTCAACGTTAACCGACTCTAGTCTACTAGTTGAACAATGCGATCAATTAAATCGTCTTGTTCTAGCGATAAAACAAAATATCGATAATACTGTTAGTTACCATGCTGATCATAAATCGAATTGGTTGGAGTTAAAGAAAAAATTATCAACCTTAACAAGCACAAAAGGTTTGGTTACATTAAACGTGGGTGGTACAGAATTTCATACCAATATTGAGACGTTAACAAAAGAAAAGAATACATTTTTTACTGCTTTATTTTCTCGTGCATGGCAATTGGAAAAAGATGATCACGGCTGTATATATATTGATCGTAATGGTGACTTATTCGGTGAAATACTTGACTATTTGCGCACCGGACAACTTGTTGTTCCAGATGAACGTCTTTGTCGACGTTTGCGTCAAGAAGCGCAATTTTATCAGATAAAAAAATTATGTAAATTATTGAGTGATATCGAGCTTAAGATGGAACATCTATTTGATGGATCGACATTGTTATCAAACAGGCAAAAAGAGAAATTGAATGAATTTTATGGTGTAAATGATCAATGTTGGAAACTCATCTATAAAGCATCGAGAGACAGTTTTGATTTGTCCGTATTTCATCATTTATGCGATAATACAGGTCCAACAATGACCCTTATTCTGTCAGGCGACGGTTATCTTTTCGGTGGGTATACAAGCAAATCATGGGCATCGGCTCTTGGATCACATGAAAATGATCCAAAAGCATTTTTATTTACACTTACAAATCCCGAATCCATAGGAGAAGTAAAATTTGTTTGTAAATATCCCTCAGGTTCAAATGCGGTATTTCATTCGTTTTCTTGTGGTCCAGCATTTGGTGCCGGTCATGATTTAATTATTTCAAATAATAGTAATAAGAATACAGATAGTTACTGTAATTTTCCTCATAGTTATACTGATCATATTGGGCATGGTACTGGAACGTTTACAAATTCAAAACATTTTCAAACAGCAGATATCGAAGTTTTTAAGTTTGTTTAAAGAGAAGAAATTTCAATTTAAAATGATTCGCGTTGATTGTAGAATAATTGAGTTATTCGATTTCAAGTAGTATTTTCTTTATATATAATGCTTTAGCTAAATGGATTTTCGTATATATTTTTTTCTTATCTGTCTATGCGCTTACTAATTTTGTATGCTTATATCTTTTGTCTTTATCAAATTGTGTTTCTTAACTTTGGGAAAGCAGAAATGTCGGTACTACAATTGCAAACGAAATTGAATTATATTTTTGAATAGATATGTGACAGAGCTTATTCTTTTCTTTTTTATGGTAATAGACATGTGACGACAAGATTATCTTTTTTTCAGAAAAACTTGAGTTGTACACTGTGAGGTTGAAAAGGATTTATGGAAAATGCCCGGCGAATTTCAAACAGTATCTATAGGAATTCCTCGAGGATTTTCCAGTTTATAGAAAATCGAATTTCCAAGAGTCTGGAAATTCCTCCTTGAATTTTCAGTTTTTTAGAAAATCGCCATTGAATTTTTATAAATAATTCCTAAGAAAGCAGAAATTCCATTTTGGTTTTCTATAAAGTGGAAATTTCTTGGCAGGTCTGTACCAAGTGGCGGTGCGACCAAGTTGTATGGGGTTGACTACTCTCACGCTTTTGAGAAATTTCTGGTGAACGTCTCCGATTTGGAGACCTTCCTACCGAAACTTCGCGTCACTACTATCTCTGCTTAAATCAAAATTCTTGCTGGCATAAGCAGAATTGTGATCTAAAGTGGAAACTGTCAAAGCTGATTTAAGTGTAATATGAGTGTCTTTACATGACACTCTTATGCCTACACTGATTGAAAAAAAAAGATGAATTATTATTTAGTCTAGAAATCCCTGGACAAATTTCCACTTTCTAGAAAATCTTCGGCGATTGTCCAGTTTATAGAAAATCTTCGGCAGTTCTTCACATTTATTGAAAACTGAATTTATGGAAATTCAAGTCGATTTTCTAATAGAAAATACTACTTTATAGAAAATTTCTATGAAGTAGAAAATCAACATTTTCTAAAAAGCTGGAAATTTGTAAAGGAATTTCTATAAATTAGAAAATTCCAGTCGATTTTTCGGTCGATTTTCTATAAACTGAACATTAATTCAAGATTACAGTGTATTTATGAATTACTCTCGTTTCTTCCACGGTCATTTCATCCCATTCTCGTTTCATCCCTTATATTTTCTATTGTTCTACTTATTTCATAACTATCTATTTCTTTCTATAAACTGTATACTAATCAATACTAATATAATTAAGTAAAACAGTACAAGTTCCATTTACTATTTTATTTACAAGTTACATGAAACAAGTAGTTTTACAGTATTAACACATTTGCCACATTTAATTGCAAGTTCAGTTTCAGATAAAGCATCATTCTCATACCTTTTATGATATTCCTTCAGTTTATTATCACAACTATCATTGATTTTCTTACGTTTACTGTTTTTGTCAGTGCCATGGCCAAAGAAGGAGTCTAAAGTAGTGTACATTCCTCCTGCATTTGGAAAAAAAATTTCTCATTAACTCTCTCTTTTCTCCCAAGAATTTCGTCTGAGCTCTTGCCTAGATTTAGTACCCAATCTAATCAAAATTTAACAAACACATGCTTTCTTCCACTTTGTCTCCCAGAATAATAGCAAGCAAAAGTTTCTCCCACTTTTCTTCAATGAGAAAAATAGCTCAAATTGATATCAACATTATCATGTAGTTATTATGTTGAAATTATGATGATAGATGATGTTATGCTTTTGGTTTTCTCTCAAATATATTTACATCCTTTCTGCCTTTTTCTCTCGCCACGCCCCTGCTTTTTGTTAATGATTCTGTGTAACGTGTATGATTACATTCATTCTCGTCCTTCAATGCATCGAAGAACTGATAAATATGTGGATATATATCAAAATGTTGTTTTAATCAAGTGTGAAAACCTGTACTTTAAAACTACCTGTTTCATGTAAATTGTAAACAGAATAGTAAATAAAACTTATACTGTTTTATTTCATTATATTAATATTGATTAGTATACAGTCTATAGAAAGAAATAGATAGTTATAAAATACGTAGAATAATAGAAAATATAAGGGACGAAACGGGAGATAATTAAAAAAAGTGGGTTGAAACGAGAGAATACCGTATTTATGAACAACTAGGGATGCATTGCACATTATTCAGAACCAATGTACACCTGCAAGTGTATTATACTTGAAAATGATAAAAAATGACGTTTCTCAAACTCTTTGCCCATATGTTAACAGCCCATGTGTTAACAGCCATAAGTCACAGTTCACGTGGTTTGAGACCACATATCATACGATTTATATCAGACCATTTTTGATTTAAAAATCATGTCCTTTTATTCTCAAATGTCCTGCTGGTTTTCATGCTTTCGTAAGCAACTGTAGTAGCTATGTGAAAATGTACGATTTAAACTTGTTTTTTTTAGTAAAAAAATTCATGTCACGACTAGCATAATGTCTGTAATTTTTGTTTGTTGTAGTTGACTGTTCTCCATGTATATTATGATTATTTAATTATATGTTGATATTTTAATGTATAAAGTTAAAGTATTGAAGACGTAGAGAAAAAGTAGACTCGGTTGCTCACGGTATGTGACTTCCACAACAAAAAATAATCGCAATCTTCACAGCTAAAATTCGACTTCAGATCAAAAAAAAAAATCCTTCGAATTTACATCATCAAACTGTTCATTTCATGCAGAGTTTTAAGTAGATATGCAACGGTAACGGGCATTTACCGGTTACCGTTGCATGCCTAGTTTTAAGTATTATAAATGTAATAAAATATCTTGTCCACTGGTCTCGCTGATCACAATGATAGGTAAGTCTTCAACAAAATTTTACTTAGAAAAGACAAGTGGCTTACTGTTTCTCTACCATGCATATTTTATTGCACTAACTCATCATATTTGAATCCTAAAAAATCTTCTTATAATGTATATTTTCAACTAGACTTATTTTGTTCATATGACCGAGCAAACAGTTGTAAATTTACATGTCATATATTAGTTACACGTGATCCGCTTGAGAATGAAAACATTCAAACTGCGACATATAGCGATTTTCTTTTCTTATTAACGTTATATATAGTGTGTACGAATCGTATAGGCTTCATGCAGATAAAACGTATATGTTCTTTTCCTTTTTTTACCCATATATATCATGTTTGTATGTATACATCACGTGTACATATTCAGGTTACTCTATTCAGTTCATTTTGTTAGGTTTAGGGGTGGGACAGTTTCAGTTCCTATTGTTTCTAATGACTGGTTAAAAGAACTGAGGACCAGTTATTAGTAACTGGAACTACCCACAGGTTACCATTACTAATAACTGCAACTGATTGACCAGTTACCGTTCCCAGTAACCGAAACAGGTGACCACTTATCGTTTTGTTCATAGTCAACACGTAGAAAAGTTGAAGTTCACCTATCTTGTTTTTTATACTGTAATAAACTCATCTAGCGCAGTTCTATATTCGATTTACAAATACTTATTTCAAACTGCTCTACCAACAAATTTCATCTAGCTCAGTTTCCACAGACAATACTGCCATGTTTCCACACAAACAGTACACGTATAGGAAATCTTTATTCTAAAGCCTTTAATGTCAGTGTTCCTATAGTATGGGAAGCGCCTTTAACTGTCTAAAGAAATTACAGAGCAACAAACATCCAGTTAGAGATGTAAAATTATGGTGATTTGAAGGAACAGTAACTGGTTACCAGTTCCAGTTACTGGGAACGGTAACTGGTCAACCAGTTCTAGTTACTGGTAACGGGAACGGGAACTGTCCCACGTCTACTTTAAATCTGCCCAGGCTATCTTCCTATGCATGTATGCTATTATATAATAACAAAAGACTATCTACAATTACCTAAGAAATAAAAAGCTCTACTTCTTCATTTTTGTTTTCCAACAGACAAAAGGACGAAATTCAAACAGAAAACAAAGATAATAGGAATAATGCTTCTTTCGTTGCAACTGGTCCTTCCACTGTTATTCACAAACAAGAACCAAAGAAAATTGAGAATATAACAAGGAGCAGGATAATTCAGTTTGGAACACGGTTTCCAGACGCTCTGTTCTTTCGTTCGCCTTGATCATACTGTCTGTGTACGACATATGTGCTTTGCCAAAAAGATCTTTGAATAGAAAACTTTCAATTAGCAGAAAGAAAATTTGAATTTGATCTTTCCTTCCAGTTTAATAGAACTTCGAATTATTGCTGTTCATCTCTCATTAACTTTTCACTTCAACTTTTTTATCAGTATCATTTAGCTGGGTAAAAGTGAACATGTAAAATTACAGTACAGTTCGTAGGCCGAAGCTACGCAGACTTAAGAGCTATTTCTCTTAGGTTCATGGATCATGTGTTTCCTAATGAATTATTTTTGGAATTGTTTGGATTTACACCTAAATCATCTATACCGTGGAGTTTTTAACCTAAATCTAATAATCTGTTCACTGGATTGTCCATTACACAATAGAGAGAGAATGGTGAATATCTAATTAGAAATATTATTCCTCGGTATTATCAACAAATCTAGTATTATAATCAAACATAAAACATATCTCCATCAGTTGAAATAGAAAATGTTCAGTATATATATTCATTACTTTTATCCGGTCCATCTTCAGTACAAATGAGACAAACTGAGTCATAACGACGGGTCTATAGACTAATGTTAAAAAGCAAAATATGAAATAACTAATATTAAAAATCAATTAAATATTTTTTCACCTTATTTAAATATTAGTCCGTTGAATATTTTTCTTTATCTAAATATTTTTCCTTTATTTTAAAATAATTAAATATTTTTCTGTCTGACCAAAAAATTGCTTTAATATGAACATCCCTGCATGAACAGATAAGACTGCATTTTATCTGTTCCTACATATAACTAAGAAAAATGTACAATGTTTATAGTCTCAAACGACGATTTCAAAAAGTGCTTTCATT